CAATATAATTAGTCAATTACTCGGTAAGTGAAATATGTATCTCATTGTAATGACATATCGATATAAATTATTTGAGTCTGTGTCCTTTCATATAATATTATATTTAATTACCTGAATTCTTTAATTTATTTACAGGTTATCTTAATGTGCCATGACCGCATAATATTGTAAATTTTCTTAAACATCAAATGTCCGTTTAAAACCTCATTAATTATCTTTTGATGATTTCCAAAAATACCAATAAGACGTTCCTTTAACACAGCAACTATTGAACTCCAACCAAAGTTGTTTAATATATTGTATAACCAGTTATATAAACTAAATTCTACTGTAGATATATTTAACGTGAACCAGTTATTATACTTCTAAAAATGTTCATACATTTTAATTTTAAAATGACTATAATTGCTAACAATAGTAGTACCTACCTAGCGGGGCTCTGCAGATTGTTTGCAATTTAAATTGTTTATATTGCACAAGGAATTCCTAGTGCTATAGGTTTCTATTTGATTCTTACTTTAGAATTTCAATTATCTAATCATCCAATCCAAAGTTAAAAATAGTTACTGATATTTATAATAACAGGCAATATCCACCCATCATTATTCCTTCGTATTAGATCGCAGTTGACAGTGTAATGAAACGTTCATAAAAACCCTCCTCCAATTGATTAAATTGTTTTGAATCAATATTATTAATACCACAGCAATGGTTACCATCTAAAGTTCAATGATTCCCCTTTCCCGCGTGGCAGTTTTAATCAAATAATTACAAACACTGTAAAAAATATTGTTAAATGTGGATGACAATAATTAAATTATTTAATTCTGTGTAAATTCACACGCGTTAATGACATAACTCATAGCGTGGCATATTACGATGTATGCGTTCATTATGGTATATGCACCAGACATATTACATTTTATCGAGATTAAATGGGAACGATAATAATATTATGTATATTTACAAAACTAGTAGGCTGGTTAAAAAAAAAATAGCCTTTCAAAAATAAAATATTTGCACAGTAGTGGTTTGTTAATTCTCACAATAATGTGTTGTAATTTTATTGTGTAACAAATGACTTAGTCGCGAATGTATTTCCAAACGCATACGAGTACTTTTGTACATTTATTTTTAATATTTTTAAGGGCGAGTTTCTGTAAGTAACATATACACTCGACCACGTTTTCGCGTCTTTTTAAGCTCTAAGTTTCCAGACGATAAAGAGTATTATCGGACCCAACGAAGCAACTACTTGGGCTGCCGGATATATGTGGATATATAGACGAGTATACCCAAGTTCCGTGGACTTAAAGTTATATCCAAAGATAATAATTAATAGTTATAAATTAGAAACCATACCTAAACATGCGTGGTGACTATACCACAGATATGTTAATATTTGTGGTTAATGTGCGTAATCACCACATGTTTGTACTCAGATTATGGCCCGGTACATAACCGCGTGGGGTCCCCGTCGAGATTACTGTTGATTGTATGGTAGTTTATAATAAATGTATTTTTCGTTTTTACACACTATATTATATATTATATAAACGTGCAGATTATTTGTGAAAAATTTGATCGGGAGAATGCGGGAAGGGTGCAAAACTCCCCGCTGGCTGGTCCCTTTGGCGTTTAGTAAAACCCAGTAAAGGTGTTACGATGTGATGGTGGTAGTGGCGGTGCGGTATTTAAAATAAACAATTTTCTTGCACAAGATTGAAAAACTTCCCACTACAGAGCTATTTTCTAGGCACAGGGACGACGGCTTTGACTAAACCTATCTATATACCTGTACAGTGACAGCTGCTGTGCGTGGTCGATGAAAATTCGTAACGCAAAACCGCACCCAAATGGCGTTGCCGGCGACGTATATTATGACGTACCTGGGAGTTTGGGTTATATATATATATATTATATACGGTGGCTTTGAAGAATTTAATATATTATTACATACACCTACAACAGACCGGTGCGACGGGGTGCTACCACCCCTTCTCAGTCCTCTCCCTGTCACGTACAACACACATCCCACGACGTCGAAAACGTCAGGGAAAGGATGGACTGTCGGAGGGAGAGAGAGACCTCCGACAGTCCATCCATTCCCTGACCACACCAATCCCCCCCTCTGAGGTGGCACGCGCTGCGACCTCCCTTTCCCCTCACCGGTCATTTGCACCACCATCCTATTACCATGAAATTCGTTCGTATAATATACTTACTCCATACGAAGGAGTCGTGCGCGTTCACGATGAAGTCCGATAGGGTCGGAAGTCGCGGCCGGGGAGCCGATGTTATATGTATAATATATTATATTATATACTTTATGCCTTTAAGGACCTATAATATGCGTGCATGTATATTAAAATAATACACTTCCATACAGTTTTTATTCATGTAACTCGCGTCCTAGAGTGAAATGCTTTCCAGAAAATAAATGGTTACAGTCGTTCTTAGACCTGCACGCGTTCTGCGTACAAGACGAATAAAACAAATAATATTATAATATAAATATTGTATATTGTAATAACTATTAAGCTTATATCGTGCTATTATACTCCTTTATAGTACCTACGTCGGATATATTATATATTATACTCAAATACAATAATAATATAATCTCATTACCTACTAAAGTGAATTGAAAAACGAATAGATATTCCAGGTAAAATTTAATGGAAATTATAGTTTTATGTATAATATATTTATTTAATTTATTCCAAGGCATGGATGTGACGGGTGTTAAATTTTAGAAACACGTTAAGACCAATAACATCGTTCAAACACAATACTACAATAGTATAAAGTTGCCCATTGGTTATGTTCGCGCACAGTACAATTTAGAGTTATGCGTTGTAATACATACCTACACTATACATGTATTATACGGCCGTTCCGAAATTTTAGGAAAATTAACGTTTTCCCGTACCATGTGCGGACGTGCAATAGGTACTACACAGTTTAGTGTTTGTGTGTGTCGTGTGTATGTATTTCCTCTAGGTGAAAAAAAATACCCATCAAAAACGTGACACCCCTACACCACCCCCCTCCACCCACAACACCACAATAATCTGCCATAACGATCATTATGCAACCGGACAACGCTGCGTGGAATGTTCTATTTCGCGGTTCCGTCTCACACCCACACGACCCTTTTCCCACTGACGTACCCACATACCATATAATATTATATATTATTATATTTTTGTAGTATTATTTTGCCATTCGGACGTAATGATGGACGCGCTTTCGGGTTTTGGGTACTATATCATATATATTGACAATATACCTATACAACTTGCCGTTTGGCGATGCAGTGTCGATTTTCGTGCAATTATTATTATACTTCGTACGAGTTTGATTTTTCTGTCACACCACCGTTCTACCGAAAACTTTTCACGTTAAACTTCCCCACTGTCCGAGAGCATAGTTTTTCGTGGTCCGTCGGCTTTTCGCGTTTGGTTTTTAATAAACGAACTACCCATATATATATACTACACGACGGTATGTGTGTGTGTATGTGTGTGTGTGTGAGTAGAGATGGATATACGCGCAAGCCAATACTATATATTATTATTTTCGTTCAAACGTTCGGAGTGTCCATCACTCACGGACGTCGCGTTTTCCCCAGTTCCCTGTATATTATTTAGGAAGGCAGGTCGTACCTATATACCATATAAATTCCAAACCCGACATGAGCATATATTGTTATATCCTGGAACCACCTTTTCACCTAAAGGTCGACCCCGCTGTTGACGTGTGCGTATACACGTATAATATCTTCGAGGGTGGTTCGAAATCATCATCTTTGTGTAAACATCATCAAAATCTCGTCTGTGAAAAAATCATCGCGCTTGATTATTATGATCGAAACGTACTTGCCAGTGGTGTCCGCAGGATTTCTCAATGGGGGGGGGGGCTTGAAAATTATTTACAAATTTATTTTTATTTTGTCCAGTAATAATCTAATAATTTCAGACGTTTATTTGAGGTATTTTAAAATGTTTGTAACTTTTCAACTTTTCTGGTAGAAAAAATGCTCTTATCATAAGCTTCGATGCCCAGTGTATGTTTTTGGAAGCAAATTGGATCTAGTTGGTACTTTTAGGAGGTCGAAATTGAATCTGCTCAGTGTTTTTAAAAGTACCTAATTGGAGAAAAAAAATGAAAACTTATTTAAATTGTTTGGTAACAATAGCTTGGTTACAGTGACGTATTTATGGAGGGATATGGGAGATAGACCCCCTCCCTTACCCATGTTTTTCCATGTTTAAAATAAAAACTACTGCAGTACTGTTGTTATTTATAATTTTGTTATCCTGTGGGCATGTGAGAGACATTACACAACATTTATTATTATTATATACCTTACATGGAGTAACTAACAAAAAGTTGCAATAGCACAAAACAAATTTTGATATCCCCCTCCTAAAGAAAATCCTATATACGCCCCTGCTTGGTTATATAGTCCTCACTTGGATTGTTCGTATTTGACTAATTAAATTTTTTTTTTATAAATGTCAATAAAAAATTATTTATCCGGTCGAAAAGCTTAAAAAATGTAATACGTACGTTTTTTTTTACATATGCATTTAAAGTTCAAAACAATTTAACCACAGTTAATTTGTAGTTCAAAACTTATAAAATATAAAATATGTATAGCTAAGGCTAGACAATTTAATACAAGGTCTTTCATACAAGTAGTTCATTCTTTTACTGAAAAATTACAGATAATTTATGAAAATTGGTATGCAAATACAATGTTTTTTCAAAAATGAATTCATTCTGGTAAGACATATATTATGAAAGTTACGTCTCGCTTACTATAGTTGACAGTTTAAACTTTATTAATATTTTTTTTTTAAAGTAATAATAATATGGGCAATGGGGGGGGCTTCAGCCCGTTAGCCTCCCCCCCCTGCGGACGCCACTGGTACTTGCACCGTTACAGTAGTATAACATAACGCACTTTAAAATAATTTAATATAATTTTGCAGTCGGAATAACCAGCTACACGATCCCGTTGGACGGATCTGCGAATGACAGCACAGAAGTGGCGGACCTTTCTTACGACGGTGTGGTGCGTGACGACAAAATTCAAGGAGGTCTCGGACGTTTGGTGGACGGTGTGCGCGGTGAGGACAACTATAAAATGGATATCGGTTACGGGAAAGGTAACGTAATACTATTATTATACAAACACTATATTGCATGTACATCGATTCAAACAATTGAACTATTCAGGAGCATAATATTATAACGAACCAACTGAATTGTTGTAATGTGTATAAGGACACTGTGTAAATAAAAATATCACTTTTATGATTGATAAATAGTTTTATATAATCGTTTCATAAAACGTTTCAGCTATAATACAAATCACTTAAGTCTGTGCGATTAACTAAACCGTGTTTTTTTTTATTATTTTAACCGTTATAATATTATATTGTTTTTAATGTATATATATTACATACAAACGTTAAATTTATTAATTAAATACTCAACTTTAAAGTAATAACCATTTTTGACTACGGAGAGCACCGCTGGTACTATATTGTGACTAATACCCGTATAATAGAGTTAATTAATCTAATCTGTATATTTTATGATGCAATATAACGGCATCCGTTTAACCGATAAAATATACCAAAAAGTAAAACCTCATCCTCTAAAATATATATTATCCAGGAACGGTAAGCACGTAATATTAATCCAAGCGACAGCAGAGTTCTTATACGTAATCGCTCACGAACGACCCATTGTTTTATATATATATATATATATATACATTATACTATGAGCACCTAAATATCTGTCTAATTTTATAGCTCGTTGTCGAATAATAATTTTACTTATTCTGTACTGCAGCAGTGTTCGACGGCAGAAAGTATCTAGCAGTTATATTAATAACAATAATAATATATATTATATAGTTTACTATAAAAACAAACGACTACGCGATGATGACGATGATAATAATATAGTATAATAGTATAATAGTAACAGTAATAGTAATAATAACAATAGTAGTAGTAGTAGTCACTTATTTCAATGTTGGAGTGGTGAATATTTCACAGTGTAAGTATTATGATATTATACAACTGGCATATCAAAATATCCATACGATATTATTATTATTCACGTATATTATTATTATTATTATTACTATGATTGTTGTTATTAACATCACGGGCATCTGAGGGTGTGACGGCAACGGACCGTTTTATTCAATTAATATAATATATTTTTCATGCGCTCTAAACTTTCGGAGCGCAGCCGGTTTGTGCTCGCGGAATGTGACGTTTGTAAAAGCTAATGATATGGACGTTTTAATAAGCCCCGGCAAAGTTGCACGCTGCAGTCTCCGCGTGTATATAAATAATAATTCATGTTTCAAAATCCCCGGCAATAACAATAACAAATAAACGTGCGTAACTTCGGAAAACGCGAAAGCCTTATAATATTTTGCGCCAGCGACGGGGGGTGGTGCTAGGAGAGGTGGAGAGCGGGGTGCGTTGTGGGCGATGGAGGAGAGCCCTGGTGGTGGATGGTCGGACGGAAACGTAGGGGTTCATTATAACAGAACGGAGGTGAACGTGTATATATATATATATATTGTTATACGCGTATAATTTTGAATATTACGACTCTCCGAGCATGACATGAAATACGATAAAGTAAATCGGGGAAAAACTATATATACTAATGGAACAACGGGTAATGACTGCGGGCTCCCCTCTCCTCCACACCGCGTCACAGCCGCATTCTAAGAGTTATTTAACTTTAACCCTTGAGCCTTCTACCGCATAGCCCTCCCGTTTCGTTTTTTTTTTTTTTTTTTTTTATATACACATAATATAATTATTATTATTATTTATTTCCCCGACGTATACATATATATATATATATATATATACATATTATATATCAGGGAAAGAAAAAAATATATACATATATATTGTGTGGGGGTTACGTATATAGTATACATCATTGAAATTTTTAATACAGTATATAATGAGAAAACCATAATAACTGTGCCGGGGTGAGGGTCATAATAAATTTACACAGCACAGTGGCGTATTATAAGTATAAACCGGCGTGACTGTATCACACACAAGCTCCCTAAATAATTTATACCGAAATGCCTGTGTCGTAGGAATAAAATTAAATTTAAATTCACACTTATATACATGTATATAATAATATAAAAAAAAAGGTGGGTAAGTGGATGTCGCTCTGCTGTACAGTAGGTTACAAGTGGGTCACTGTATAATGGATGCTATTAAATTTGAATTCAATGATACAATATCATTGTATAAGAAAAACGATTCTGAGCGAAGACGGTATGTCAGTCTAGGTTTAATACAAATTATATATTAATTATATACATATCTATGGTATTAAAAAAAAAATTGACCTATAATAAATTCCAAATTAATCATATCACATTATCACAATACTCATTAGGTACTTATAACACGTTATACGTTAACATCAATAACAAACCCTGATACTATCATATATATATAATAGTACACTTTAGAAGTTTCAAGTAGGTACCCACGAATAATATTATATAACCACAAAAAAATAACTATGTTTTTTAATATGTAATTTCGTCCAAATTTGAACATAAAATGACTATAAAAATAAACTGTGATTGTATATTTTTTAGATTTTTCGGTAAGAGAATTAACAACTTACGTGGAATCTTGTTTTAAATTTTCAATCCTTAGCTATAAAAACTGAACATTTTATAATTTATTAATTACGATGATTAATAATTTTCGAGATTTTGAAAAATTCTATCAAAATTCGATGTTAAAATGCTTATAAAAAAAAATTGTGCCTATGTATTTTTAATATTTTTCAACTGATATTGTAACAATATATCAGGAGCCTTGTATTAAATTTTTACACTTTTTGGCCCAACAGATAAAACTTAATTGATATTTATAGAAAAAAAAAACTAAAAAAATTGAAAACTGAAAATGTCCGTAAACGGCTCAAAAAGTGTCAAAATATTTTCAAAATTGTAGGGTGTATAGGAAATGCTAATATAAACATTCAGTGAAATTTTCATGTATCTACAGTAATTCGTTTTTTAATTACAACAAAAAAAGAAAATTGCCACATGAGAAATCGAGTGAATATCCAATGTTGTAAAAATTTGAATTTCAAACGCTCATAAAAATTTAATTTGACTTTCCGGTAGAAATTTTTTTATTGATAAAGGTAGACAATCTTATGAGTAATCTTGTATTAGATTTTCAAATCTTAGATTTAAAAAGAAAAATTTTTACGAATTCTTAACTCAAAATAATTAGCTAATTTTCGTGATTTTTCCATATTTTGTCAATTTTTGAACTTTAAATGATTATAAAAAAAAATTGTGACTAAGGATTTTTAATATTTTTCATCTGCCTTTGAAACAATATATTAGGAGCCTTCTATTAAATTTTCAAGCTTTCGCAACCAACAAATAAAATTTTATTGATATTTCTAGAAAAAAAACTAAAAAAAAACGAAAAATGAAAATGTCCCTAAACAGTTCAAAATAAATTAAAATATTTTGAAAATGTTATCGTGTATAGAAAATGCAAATATAAACAACCAGTGAAAATTTCATGTATATACGTTCATTTGTTTTAGAGTTACACCAATAACCAAAATCGATTTTTTGGTAAATCGATTTTGCGTAAAAATTCCCGTTTTTCCTTAATTTTTATGTTGTTTTTCCCGGCGCTTGTGAAAACTACTGCGAAATTTAAATTTTGACCTCCCCAATGCACCAACGATATTCACTTTCCAATCGAACAAGATACTGAAGTCGAAAATCGAAGCATTATTTCGACTACTTATCGTGTACACAGATACAAAAAAAATAAAAAAATAAAAAAAATAAAAAAATAAAAAAATAAAAAAATAAAAAACACACATCATTGTAAAATCAATACATTCATCGTTTCACTCAGAATCTAAAATAGTAAATTGTATCGTTACTTTTCCGGTGCCGAGCACGGTAAATGCCGTAGAAATAATAATAACAATAATAATACAACAGTAAGTATTATAGTTTAACGCATATAAGACAAATAAAAAGCGACATGTCGTTAAAACGTTGTGAAAAGTTTTTAACGACTCTAATAGTTGAGTATCATTGATTTTTACGATGTGCACTGTCTGTGAAGATGTGTAATGTACCTCATATACCTATGGCAAATATGAAAATGATGTTAAGGCCCAAAATCAAAGTAGATTGGATAACATTTAAAATAGATCATGTTCAATGAATAACCTGACTAATTTAAAACATAAAACAACAAATTACATTTTAAACGATAAAGTAAAATAGAAATTAGATGGCTAAAAAAAATTTAAGCCATGATGCAATATAATATTTGATATTTTTAAGTATTGATTTGTGAAATAATAACTATAGGTATTTACATTCTTAAATAATATTCATTTGTCAGTCATTATGTTCTTTTGATATAGTTAGTTGGTATTGGTATAGGTAACACAATTACATGTGATTAATATTTAACAAATGCTCTTTGTTATAAGGTACCTACTGAAAAATAATAAACTAAATATTTGGTACTTTGTATATTAAAAAGTTATTTTTTCACTGCTTAGTGTGTATAATATAATTATATTTACATTATGTACCATATAGGGCAACCACGTAGATTTTGATACTCATTAAAATACTATACTTAAAGCATTGATTAAAATATAAAATACGTTTATGATAAAAGTATGAAAAATAATCACATAAATATCATTATCTAATACTCAATATCAATGCTACTATTTGTAGGTGGAAATTTAGTTCCATAATATCGGTATTTATATAAAACACTATTCTCTATAATATCTACAAGGTTTTCATCAAATTGAAATATAATAATAGATATTATTATTAATAGTTATCAAAGTACTTTTGTTCTATAAAAATATTAAATATTAATTTTAATAAAAAGAAATGGGAGATTCAGAAGTAAAATGGACCAATATAAGCGGTTATATTTCAATTTTAAATTAATGATAAATCATTGCATTTTAAAAATGATTCAGTGTAGAGAATGGTTTTGACTCATGGTGTTGTTAAAACCTGTACTTTCTAACATTTCACTACATATTTTTATGTTACTTTTTCCTATTTTTTTTTCGAAAACTACTTGAAAATTCGAAAGACGACCAGCTTAAAGTACATTCTGTATTAACTTTCCAATCTACAAAGGCACTACCTTAAACTGTTCGATCTTTTTTACTGCCATAAAAAATGTTAACAGGAAACAAAAACAAGTATAAAAAAAAATCATATTATAAAACCAGTATTATGTCTGTTTTCCGCTCCAAATCTAACTTAGTCATAAACATATTTATGTCCAAATTATTATTTATCTAGTGTTGCACTATTTATAAAATATTTTTTATTTATTGTATATTAGATTTATAAAGTTTATTGTTAATTTAATTTATTTTAAATTTTAACAATGTACTATATACTACTTACAATTCCAATTAAGTATATTATACTTTGAAATGTTATACAAAGATTTAGATGTAAAAAAGGGTAAACCTAGGACGGATGGTTGGGTGGTCATATTACCCCCCCCCCAATAATTTGTTTTGTTAATTTTTCATTTGGTCATTTATGAAAAACTAAATAACTCTACATAATGGCTAATTGATTTGAAAAAAAATTGTGAAAGTGATGTTGATTAAAAGTTGAGGGTGAGGGGGATTATAAATTCCAATGTTAGTAAGTACTAGCCAACCAAATGAAGTTGTGAAGTTGCCTTGATGTCTCCTTTGGAAATTAATTGATTATGTACAGGTATGTGGCCAGTGGACAAATGAAAAATTAAGAAAAACTGGAATTTTGATGCAAAACCAGTTATAGACAAATGTTGTTTATTGTAGTAAATCTAAAACAAATGATCTCGGATACTAGTTCCTTTTACCAAATGTTTATATGATAATTTTCGGTACAAGATATAATTTTCAAAATATTTTGACTCTTTTTCAACTGTGTACGATTATTTACTTTAAATTTTCAATTATTTTTTTCTTTTTCTATAATTAATGTCTGTAAAAATTGTTTTGCTTTGTCAAAAAGTTTAAAATTGAATACGAAGTTTCTCCATAAATTTTTCATATATGTACCAATTAAAAAATATCGGAAATACTTTGGTACGATTTTTTTTTATAAGCTTTGAAGTTCAAATGTTGACATCATTTATCAAAATCATTCTAACCCAGCACATTCATTACAGCAGGGGTAGCCCTTTTCCAACAAGTGGGCTACATTAAACATTTTAAATACCTGGTAATCGACCACTATTTGTTTAGGTATATTATTAATATTATTACATTCAGCATAATAATTTTCTTTTATTATTTCTCCATAGGGAAATTGTGTTTTTCTTCGGTAATAAATAATTTACTTTATACCTATAATATAATATATAAAATGTAAAAGTTTTATGATTTCGCACTCAATCAACGGCTAGTAGTATAATTAATTTTTAATACGATCGCCCAATAGTCCTCTAAAGATTGATCAAGTCCATACCGGGTGGTTGTAAAATTATTTGTAAAAGATACATGACGCATGACTTACATTTACCAATATATATTATATTTTATAATACAATTTCAATCTCAACTAATATGTATTATTAAATAGTTTACAATATTAATGACATACAATTATAATGGTGTGATAATGTGTGTTTTTATTTAATTTAGGTAACGGATGGGTTGGATGGCGTAAAGAATCTTTTTCAAAGGGATATGTGGAACTAGTATTTGAATTTAGCGAAGTAAGAAATTTTTCGGCTGTGCACATATTCACCAACAATTTTTTCAGCAAAAACGTACAGGTGAGTAATTTTGTGAAATTCTCAGAATGTTCTTTTTTGCGTTATTTGAAATACACGTCAGAGTTATTTCATTTTGTTTTACAAAGGGGAATTTTCATAATAAATCCTAAAACTAGTGAAAACCTGCCGGCTATGGCTTAATGATCTCTTACAAATAATATAAAAATCGTAAGTTTCAAGCACTGTTGAAGTATGTTGTACAAACTTCTTCATCCTTAAAACGGGATGAATGTGTGTGTGTGTGTGTGTGTGTGTGTGTGTGTGTGTGTGTGTGTATGTAAAAAAAATATTCTTGTAACAATAAAGACCCGGAGCTTATATGGCTGCGTGTTCGCACACCACACTTTAACATGCTAACCTAAAACAATAGAGGACTAACAACAATAATGTGCTAATGAACCTCATAATATACAAACATAATTTTTAGTTTTAATTATTTAAAAACAAAATCAATAAAATAACTCGAAATTGACCTCTACAAACTATTTTTATTTATGGAATGCTTCAAATGTAATTATTTAAACCCGATAACTTCGCATAGTGATTTTTGAATATGTCTTATGAAAACTGAAAATATTTTGTTAACCTGTCACAAAATGAAATTTAATGATAAAACACTATATCACTCATCACAATTAGACAATAAGCACCAATTACGGAGAGACGTTAATCGTACCTTAGTAACTAAGATAATAATAACAACGGTTTACGAATTATTATGTTGAATAAATCAAAATAAAGATGAGCTAACCATGTATTCAAGTATATTATACCATTATGTATATATACGTAAATGGGCAATTATCATCAATATAGGCTTATGGTAATTGCATGTGTATAAATCGCTGTTTAATGTGTATTCACTGGGTGCGGCCAACTCAATTAAATGTTTTAACTTTGAAGTTATACCGTTAAAGGATTATTATAACTATATTGGCGGAATTAAATCATTATTATAACTTTGTGAAAACAACTATATAAAATGTCCACTTTCCACGTACTCGATGCTAAAGAGTTGATACCTATCAATTAAAAATCATGTTTTTCCTACCTATGTTTACAACAATGAAGTTTAAAATCCATAAATTAATTATCATTTAATTTTTATTCCATAATAAACCGTATAATGTTATCTTGACAGTTTCTAAAAAATAAAAATGGTAATCATTTGTTTAATAGGAATTAAAATTTGTTAAAATTGTCAATTTTCGATGAAATAATACTTGTATTATTATAGGGGGTCGTAATAATATTAATTTGTACCAAATTCCTTCTACATAATTAAGAACTTTTAAGTGAAATAAATAGAATGGAATAATAATATAATATACTTTTAATAACTTTTATAATATGTTCATATATTTTTTAATTCTTAAATTATTTTAAGGTATAAATTTCTCTTTTTAATCCTTGTTAGTAGCTATCTATTATAAATATAATTATTCGGTTTTTAAGTTATATTTTGGATCATATTATCTGTTTCTTTTATTCGCAGCATTATTATTGGAAACTATGCTAATAGGGTTCTTAAAAATCTTTAATGTCACTTCAAATATTTCAATAAAATTATGAAAAATATATATTTTATTTTCATATACTTACTCTGATATATACAATTAGTTTCGATTAGTAATTTAACATCGCAAACATTGATCATGAATGATTTATCATCATCGAATAGCCGTGGTTCAAGAATAACTTTATACATTAGGTACTATTTATTTATCAAAAGGGTCTTTACAATTCGTTATTTTGGAGCCAAATGATGGCACTGAGGTTTGTAATCTGTACAAAAAAACCTACAGTATTAAGTATTTGCATATTAATTGCTTCTAACTAGTAATCACCCGTATTAATAATGACAAATAATAACACTACTACTATAATTTAATAATTACATTAAATTTGAAATAATTATAAAATAATATATATCAAACATCAAACATTTTATATTTCTTATTTCAATTATGATATTATGACGTTATGAGTTAAGCTTATAAATACTTATAGTATCTAGGTATCGTATACTTTAGGTTTTATGTAATATAATACAATTATAATTTATAAGTAACTATAATTATATAAATAAAACATACTATATTGAAAGTAAATCATATAAATATTATATAATAATACGATATTGACTAACTCTTAGTGAAATTAAGCTACAACTTTCTGGTTTGTATTAGAAATATTGAATTTGATACTATAACTTGATGTCCACTCTCTGCATTGAAAATAGAGTAGACATTTATTAAATAATACCTATATGAGATGATAATATGATAGTACCATGTTAGACAGCCGCATAGACTCTCAACACGTTCTATTTGTCATAATTAGAACTCTGACATTTATCATTTCTTAGTTTTTAGTATAATATAACAATACAATAAATATAGGTATACAACATAAATTACGAACACTATAATTAATCAAAACGTACAATGCATGCATTTCGTATTATTTACCTACTAAATATGATGAGAAAATTATTTAAAATTATTATATTACTAACTGCCTTTTAGTGAAACAAAAAATTGAAGAGTTCATCTGAAAAAATTAAAAAACAATGAAACGTCTACCAAAACAATAACTAAAAATATAAATACCTAATTAGAATGTTAATATTTTTACAATTTATGTTTATTGTATTAAGTTCGTTTATAACTCAAAAAGATTTCCAAAAAAATACGTTTGATAAAATATTTAATAAACGGAATGTTGAAACACATTTAATATTTTATATGCACACATTATCCAAATGGCGATAGTTATTGCACAATTTTAATTGGTCGGGTTTACTGCAGTAAGTATACGTAATTTATTCGACCGTCGATTTACACAAATATACCAGAGAGTATAATAATATTATATTAAGACTATAATTTAGTATTAGCGTTTCATAATTTTAGTTAAACAGTTTATTTTTGTTTTATTATCGTTTTCCAGATTTTCACCCCACGCATTAACTTCCACCCCTTGGAGTTTCAGTTTATTTTTAATATCTTTATATACGCGCTATTAGTACATAAACAATTTTATTTTTTTTAATGAAAAATGTATATCAATTACGTTTGATGCCTGAACTAGTGTATATAACATATATATGTGGGCACGCGTGTGTGTGTGTGTTTAAAAGCGATATGGGGCGCTGAAATAGGGTCCACGAGACTCCATTAAACGGCCGGTTTCGTTTTTTTTTGGTTTTGACAAAAATTTATAGCCTCGCGGTAGGTAAGACCTTTTAAGGCCTGACCGCGTAATGCCAGTGACAGATTTATGAATCGTGTATGTTTCATTTACTCCAGAAATATAATAACAACAATAAACGGTTACTAGGCGAATAAAACATACCTTGCATGACGTGATATACGGTGTGTTTGTGTTGTGCTTACCCGAAAGAGATGGTACTAACATTTTTCTGCCTATGACCATGACCCGCTGATTGCATGTATTATATATTTATATGTGATCGATACTACGATCAACCTATTTATGATTGTTAGGATTCAGAATAATTTGTATAATTGTATTATAATGCAACACCACGAAGTATGAAGTAATAATGAAAATTAGCAATTCATTAAAATATTATTATGTCCCATTCATTATAATAACAAAGACGTAGGTATAGTAATAAATAAAATGGTTCACTAAAATAATGAATACTCATTTATATCGCCAAACCAAATCGAACCATTTGTTGTAGTCGAAAACTGCAACCGTGTAAAATGTTTTGCAAGGCTTAGGAATTAGGGTTAACACACGCATATTACATGTTATTATAGTCATCAGTGTTACGGAAAATTTTCATAGGTACCTACTTCTTGAAATAACTTGAAATTTATAAACCTAACCCGACATTAAGGACTGTACTAAAACAACAAAGGTATTTACCGCGACCCTTGTATGTAGTAATTATATAGTATAGGCCAACAATAATGTATATTTAAACACATTTTAAATAATGAGAAACATAATGTTACGTTGTGTTCAGATATAATCTACATTTTTATACAACACAACGTCACGAATAGGAAATTGTCCTTCGATGATGAACATTATTTTGTTGTCATTTTATATCCATTATGTTTTTAACAATATATTCCAATCAAAAACTATAAAATATTATTTGAAATTATATCAAAAAAATAATTCCAACCAAATTGTAGTACTGAATGTTACTGAATATTCGACTATAGAATGGTTAAAAATTATTATTTAATAGGTATATTTTTTTCTCCAATTATTCATGAGATCCCTGCAGTGTTCACCCAACTAAAATATAATATATATCTGGGTAAAATAAATTTTACTATACATTTTAGCTTACATATTATTATAGGTTGCTGATTGCGTGCTAATATGACTTAATAGTATACCTTAGGTAGGCGTAGGTATCTACACACATATTAACTATTATATGTATATTGAATATCTGCATGTCCCAGTTTGTGTACATGATCACATTATAGATATAACTGACCGAAGATAATCATCTTTAATCACTTGTAATAATATCAATTATCAATACATAAATTTCCATAAAATATTATATTGTAATCAAAACTGACACGAACAGACACGCACCATACATGACATAATATAAAAAATATCGATATCAAAACATTGAGTAAGTGCGTATATTTCGTGATCAATGTGTGTAAAAAGTAACGTTATCATAATAACGAATACTAAAATTTAACAATAATTAATAATAAATAGTCAAATGTATAGTAATGCTTTTTTCAATACGTAGTTTTTTTACACACTATTTGAAATTGTTTCATATTATTTACAATTTTACATTATGCATTATTCTATTTCTGTATACTTATACTTTATACCTATGTTTGATTTGTTTTTAATATCCATGTTTATTCAAAACGTTGTAATACATGATACATAAATTCATCATGTAGGAAACAATAAACAATACAATGCTAAAATATTATATGTAGTACAATACTCATATAAAAATGTGATCAAATTTTATATAAGTATTATGTCCATACGAAAACTAGGAACTTTATTGGAAACGAACGTATACGTAGATACAACAATGTAGTTCTTTGAATCTAAAACTTTACAGAGCTTTATAACTCAATATACCTACATTGGTTTTCAACAAAGACTTAAATAATTATAATTTTAATTTTAAATATATACGTAAATAAATGATAAACATTTTTAAAATAATTGTTAGCCTGAAATATACTTTTAATTTTCAATTATTCTGATGTTTTAATGTTTTATGAGTATTAAAAGTATTTGTAAATGCTTCAAACAAAAAATATGGTAAATAGACAACTTTTCAAATAATAAAATAAAGATATGTCAGTGCAATATGTTTTTCTCTCTCAGACCCAAGTCCAACGTAGGGTAGGTCTTTTGGACGATTGTTGAGTAATCAGAGTAAAATCACCTATTACGGAAATTATACTTTTGTAGGTTTTATATTTTACTTATTATTATTAATTATATCTAAAAATAAATAAATAAAATTGACGTACAATTGTTGTTAAATTCTTTTATCAATATTTACTATTTAGACAGATTTCTATATGCCATATTATAGCATACTCTAAAAAATATTATTTTCAATAATTTTTTTAATGGGTTATTTTTCATCAAGATTACTCAAAAACAAACAAAAAAGAATTAAGTTTTAATGTTGTCTTTGTTGTGTGTGTGTGCCAGAGAGAGAAAACAAACAATCTTCTGACATCCTTTTAAATAATATTATGCTTTTTACTAATAGTAATTTCTCTTGATCATTGACCAACAAATATAAAAATATTTTTCATTTTGAAATAAATATAACTCATGTCATAACTCATATTTGTAAAAATATAATAATATAAGAAAACATTTTTAAAAATAATTATTTTTATATAAATGCTGTAAAACATCATACTTAGATATATTATATACATTTTTATATCATTGATTTATTTATGTAAATTTGGTAAATGCCAAACATTTTTAACTGTCACAATAATTAGTTCGTTCTATCATTTTACTTAATTTATTTTTACAACAAAATCTTAATGACAACAATTTGGTATTTAGTGGTAGCGTGGTGCGAGGTCTATAGAAAAGGGTGCTTAAAGTAAAATGGCTTTAGGCGATGCAGTATAAATTTGCGCCTGGTATAAATATTTAAATAAGCATAATTTAATTATTACTTTTCTCTCACAGCAACGTACCTAGCTGTTATTACCAAAATAATAAATCTACCTTCGGTGGTAATTATTTTCTGCAACTTTTTAATATCTATTGAATCAAGTATGAAGATTCTGCAAATAATAAAAATTATTTTATCCCAATATAGTTATTAAAATCGTTAACAAATGTATTTTTCTAACCTTCTATTGATGATGGAAATTCCTTAAAACTAAAAAATTCCATTGATTATAGAAAATTCTTCATATTTCAGTGGTATTCAACCATAAACCATCACTGGTTAACTTAAAACAAAATTGAAAAATTACAGGAAATTTCCAGTTTTCCAGTCGAATTATTAAAATTAAACACGAAATATAATATAATTATAGAATCCTATTATTTTAAACATTTAATTAACTTAGAATTATAAGTAACTCTTACAGTAAAATTCAATGTAGAAAGTATTTACAATAATTATTAGGTAAAGAATTTAATCGCATTTGTGTTTTGAAATAAAATAAAATAATAATATAGATATTTTTTCGTATTTTCTACTATTTACCATGATAATAAAACAAACTGGTTATATAAATTATTAGTTATTATAAAGTAAATACTATGTATTTGGCAGAAGACGTTCAAAATACCATATTCCTACTAAAAAAAAAAAAAAATAAAAATAAATTACTAATAGTTACCTATATGAATAAATAATTGTACAAAATCCTTGAAAGTAGATACTGAGTGCTGGCTCTCCATTTTCAAACATATAAAATTTGTTCGTATCTATTAAATAACCTATCAAATTTAACACATCCATATCACTGACTAATCTCGATGATGAGGAATACTTAAAACCTACTATACAGTTTGGGTTTTTAATAAGTATATTTATAGTAGGTACATTTTTCTTTATCAAAACGTTTTTCAGTCAACGTCTTATCAGCATTATTTTTATCGGTTTTTCTTCAACACCTGTAGTCATGATAAATATTTTTTATTGAATATCTTTTTATCTATCTGTACCACGACTTATATACTATTTTTTTCAATCCCACAAGGTTTTTTCAAAAGCGAGGGTACAGTTCAGCGTGGGAGGAGTACACTATCAAGGACGTTCGGTTTGGTATACGTACATGCCGGATACTGCGTTGGAAAATGCCAGAGATGTCGACATACAGTTGCATAATCACGTTGGAAAGTACGTGAAAATTCAACTTTACTTCTACAGCAAATGGATAATGATCAGCGAAGTGAAGTTTGATTCCGGTGAGAACTCCATAAGATCACAATTTATTTTTATATAATGAAACTCTGAACTCCACGACAACATACTTATACACACAGTGCATGTTTTTTACTGGAACTTTTCTTAAATAAGACACATAATATTTTTCCACGCGTATCGATGTTAGTAAAATTATTACCAACGGTAACACGGAGCCTTGAATAGGCAATTTAGCTACACCACTGTCGTGTACACATTTTCCGGTATTTGTGGCATTTTCTTATAATTCATTTGCATTTTAATAACAAGCATTATATTTCCGCTCTCAACTCCGCCTCTCTCTGAACCACTCAAATATATTATCTACGTTTGTAGGTTAAGTAGCCAATCGCATAATTGTATGTAGGTAGTGCTGTAGCAGTATTCGGATAACTGTGTAATAATAATATTACACAAGTATTTTTCGAAATATTTTGTTCTTTGTCCGATCATATTAATATTGATCGACTTTTTCCAATATTATTATAATATATAGTATTCACACGGCGTTGACAGTATTACATTTATTTTTCAAGTAATATTTTGTAAGCGGATTTTGTTTCTAAAATATTTTCCTGCAATAGTGCGTGTCCTGCAATAATTCGTTTTATGCGTGTGTGTTGAAAATCGAGCGAATCGTTAATGCAATCAACGATTTCGTTAAGCATGGTCATAGTTTCCTGTATTTCTAAATGCATAAAATTATTATTAGTTATTACTAGGCGCTAAACGTTTAGATGATTAACGTGACGCAACACAAATTTCATAGGATTTGCCTTGCTTCTCGCTGCTCTTATACGAATACTTTTCAAAATGACGAGTTTTTAATGTTAAAACAATTGACCTGTAATTGTATGAACGCAATCGCAGTGCGTTAATGGTGTATTATGTTAATGACAATTAGAACTTTATATATGTAGAATTGTAGAACACATGCAAATCAAACCCAGACACAACTGCATACGACGTTAATATACAATCAAATAGAGTTCAATACAATATTATTATTAAATTCTTAATAGCGCTTGACAGACAACTACTGACATGTGTAGGTTGACGTCTTTGAATAATGTCGTGAGCGTCGGCACAGTGGCAACGAACCGTCGTCATACGCGTACAGATCGAGAAATTAGTCATTTAAATCGGTTTTAATCAGAATTGGGCTAGTGAATTGAAATATATTTTTGGTGGTTGAGGATGAGTTTCCGGGTTTTAAGAAGTTTTAAATTTGAAACCAAAAACTTTAATAGTCTAAACTGAGATTTTTTAACACAAAACCCCATATCTAATTAAGTTTTTCATTTTGAGTTCGAACTTTAAAAAGTATACGTACACGGTATACCTACCTAAGTATATTTTTTAAATATGACATTCCTGCGTTAACCTTCAAAATAATAATCTCCAAAACACATGAATTACTAAATAAATTATATTTATTATAAATACGATTTTCATAATTAAATACCAATACGTATGCACAATATATATAATTATAATTGTATATTATGTTATAATGGCACAAAACGTCGACAAATCTTATCATATTCCGTATGTAACGCTAAGTACCAACTCTAAACAACAGTGCAATTCATATAATATTAAGTTGGTATCTAAACGTTAATTGACAAACCGACAATAGCGAGAATTTAAAAGCGTAAAAAAGTAGGTACATTATAAATAATAAACTCAAAATTCTCGGATTAAATATTTTTTTTTTTAATATAACATTCTATACAAATACACTGGTTCGCTTGAAACACCGATTTATATTTCACTCGAATAATTCGTTATTAAAAATGTATAGGACTTGAAACCAACAATATTTTTTACAGAGAAACCCCTTCGAAGTTATATCCATATAATATATACTTCATTTATATTGTACGAATCGTATATTGCCGGTGGCAATAAGCTTATAATCATTATAATCATGAAATTTATTACGTCGTTTATCAACGTATAAAAAGTTTCGTTCTGCGTGCCATATTCGAAACCACGAGGGCCGAAAGAGGATGAGATCTCTTGTACCAAGAAAATAATATGCATTTTCCGCCGGACTTTTTGCACACACCATCAGTACAAAGTACAAACTGCACGTCGAGGAATAATAAAGATGCGTACGCAACGCGAATCTCAATATTAACAAAGTAAAATCGGCAGCCGTATTAATTTGAAACGTTTTATAATTTATGTATTATCGGGTAAACACACTTAAAGTAACAAAGAACGTTATTATAAATTTAATGTAATCATCGTTTTATTATTAAAAAATAAAACCTTTGTGCAACAAAGATTCGCGTTCTGTGTACAATTTTCGTACGTAAATATTTGCCACGAAATTTAATATACCCATTCACGTTCGAACGTATATCATAATATAGATATTAATTGTACACATATATAGGTATAATAAAATACTCGCATTTTGTGCACTTCATTGATACGTCTGAGTAGTGAGGGTATTTAACAACTACAGTGTTATTGACGTTAATCATTATTATCGGTCATAATGACCAGTGAGATCCAAAATAAATACACTTGGTATTGAATATCAGAATATAAAATAATCCAAACGTGAAGCTCGTTGACAAAATATTATGATAGGTACCTACATAACGGTTATTTCAATAAGGATTTCGATTGATTAACCATACGACTGTATAGTGAATGTTATCACACACACGAAACGTTATCGAAATTAAAAAGGAGCTTATAAAGAAAAAAAAATCATTTGTTTTTGATATAATATAGATTATCAATGACAATCGCATGCGTTCGATAACAATTTTTTTAACACAATTTTTCTCTTGACTTTTCTGGAGCACAAACGATCAAAGTCTGCACCATCACTAAATAATATATGACCTAATATAACGGTATATACTATATTATATTTTTCACAAGCGGCATATACATATAATATTATACAACCAGCAGCAGCAGCAGCTGCAACGGTAATGGTTAACAGTCACAATATTCCGAGACCTTGACAGCTGAGAGACTTCACGCGCGCGCCACACGCGTAGGGCAAGTTTAAGTCTTCCGTCTTAGCGACGGGGGGCAGGCACGACGGTCGCATTCAGGTTTAAGCGGTTTCATAAAATACATATATTATATTACACAATAATATACGTGTATACGTTATATTATATGCCCGCCGCCACAGCGCAGTTTCGAAAAAGTTTGCGATTTTCTTTTTTTTTATCTTTTATTATCATTTTGTCTTTCTCTCAGCGCTGCACATCCGTCCCACCCGGCGCCGACTCGCGCACGCACACATACAATACGTACGAAAGCTGAATCATTTATTCGACCGCTGAGCACCGTACACACACATAACATACATATACATACATACCATACATATGGGTGTGTGTGTGTGTATAAGTTATGACCGAGTACCGGGTATACCTCTCTCGTTTCTTTATAAGCGGGTTATTTATGGGGCGGGGATTATGCGAAAGTATATATAGGAACTCGTCTTATGAAGCTATTTATTTCCGGCACAGCGGACTCGGTTTTATTTAAATGCAGGCTCCCCGCAACCCCCACCACCTATCCCGCCGCATCTCGGCCCTAAAGACCGCAAAAACCCGCGAGCGACGACTCGGTCACGGGCTGCAGCGGTGTATGTGATGTGAGCGTGTGTTATAGGTGCTCAATTTTTATTATTTACATCAATGATATAATAATATATATTTCCCCTGACGTACCAGCAACGAAGGGACGAGCAATGAACAGAATACGTGTAAGCTCAGATAGGTAAAAATAATAACTGTAGGTAAACTATGAGGAAAAAAAATCACTCAACTGCTAGTCACGTAATTTTAACATTTTGGAATTTTGAAATTCAGTATTTGTTTTAATTATTATAATTATTATTGTTACTTGGAACACGTATAAAATTTATAGCTCTGGCAGGCCGTCGTGGAACGTCTTACGCCTACAGGAAAATTAAAAATAATTTAATTATCTAACCACGACTAGCGACGTACTAAAAAAAACCTCGATTGACGTCATTATTCGTTGACCGTTTTTGCATACAATTTACTGTTTATTAAAAGTTAATTACTTTTACGTCGAGTTTTATTTTTTTTTAATTTCATTTTTTTGCTCCACAGCAACTCTTGAACAGCCTCAATTTAATACAATCACCGACACTTTAATACACAGCCCCGACGATATAGAGAGTCGTTGTTGTTGTTGTTGTTCGTAAACCATTTCAGTAATTATATAATGGTAGTATAATACACAATGCAAACTAAATCACACGCACCGTGCGCGCTAACGCGTACTAATTTCTCGACGACTGCACAATATATTACAATGAGGTTTTTGTTCGTCACGCGTACGATATTATACAATTCACAATAATAATATATTCAGCAACGAGTGTCAATATTTTTTTTCGTCCAAATCATTGGTCGACAGATCCGCTATGCCGTCGTACGTACCTGTATACACACAAAGGCAGGTCGTACCCGTGTGATTTATTACCTTATGTGTGTATCATACGATATGATGGAGAGAGAAAGTGAGAGATAGAAGAAGAAACAGGGGATGCCATCCCTGGGATGGTGCACAATGATTTACAGAGTGTCCGTCGCGTTTACTCGCACGCATAAATCGCCACAAATCGCATTCGCGTTTCGGATTGAATATTGTACGAGTGTTTTGTGGAATTTATTTCTCAGCTCTCGGGGTTTTTTTTTTCATTTATTTATTTATTTATTTTTTTTTTTTTTTTGCAGAACCGTTGGCTCAGAACGTGACGGTGGACGCAGACGCGCCGTTCGAGGACGAGCAGCTGGTCGGAGGAGCGGTGGATCCGCCTTGGGACTCGCCCGACACCAGTAAGTGTTTTTAATATATTCATGTGGCCGTTGTTGTTTTTATTTTTATTTTTTATTCGATTTACCCTGGATGGGGTGGTAAAGCGAAGGGTGGAAATGGATTGGGTGGCATCATTTATTAACGAGGCACGATCCCTGGAGGGATGACTGACTCCATATTCGGACTGGGAACGCCGCTATGAGGTACATATATATTATATATGAGAATACCTGCTGTAGAAATGCCGTCGTTATATTATATCGTTTCTTTTTTATTCATTTTTCCCACTATACCCTTAAAAGCACACCACCCGTCTTACGCCTTATTCTGTGTCGGCCGGAGATTCCTATACCACTATAACACCACTCATTCTTTCCCGAGAGGTATGTTCTATTGGTTAGATAAATGCTATTTCGCAAAAATCTGTAAGACAGCACAAGGAACTGATATCTGTTTTATAGTGATCTTCCTGTCAGGGATCGTGCATTAATCCGGCCAATGAGACCATGAAAATAGAACATCGAGTCTCGATCCGGTAGGGTAATCGAATCGCATACCACGTTATAAGTCTAACTGCACTCGGGTCCGAAAACACAGAGTTTTCAATCAGTTTGTTACTTAATAAAAATATTTTTCAATTCAAATAATTTTAAGTCCTTACTCCTTAGCTTGTACCTACGTTGCAAGAGAAATATGTGTAAACGGAATAACTTAAAAATAAAAATTTATTCATTTGCACTTTTGGTCATGTGGAATATTTGTCGGATTTTGACTAACTGATCTGAGTACAAATCGAACTCTTTCGATACTTTTTTCAAAGCCTAATGCAATTGGAGCTTAATCTTTTTAACCTGAGTGCAATCGTACTAGAAAAAAGTTCAATCCTATACCTGTCCCCGGGCTGAGTGAGATGCTATTGACGGGTAGTTCCATTTTAGACGGAAAATCCCGCAGGGGTGGACTATTCGTATGCCATCCCCGTGGGAGATACATCCCCTGCATCCATAAGGTATGAACATTATTTCTCTTACTTCGGGAAAATGCAATAAATACCTATGAACGTAGAAGTCTCGAGCACAGAGCATTGTACACTAAGTAAAACACGTCCATTTTAACAGCTGCACACAAGGAAAAGGATGACAGGACAGGTGGAGGACTGGTGGAAGTGCTCATCGGCGTGCTGACGGCCGCCACACTCATCTTGCTTGGGATTTGCGCCATTGTGTTAGCTCTGAGCCGCCGTAAGAAGCATCAGACGATCAGCACTTCGATATTCAAAAAGCCGTTTGGCGTGGCCATAAACATGAAGGACATATTCATGAACCTGTCACCGCACAACAACAACACTACCGGCGTCAACAACAACAACAACCATAACCACGGTTCGGGAATCGGAGGCGGTAATCGGCACATCACCGAGAACCCGTTGGTGGTCGGCGAACAGATGCGCAGTGACAGTTTCGCGTCGGATGCTTACGACAAATCGCAACACGTCGTTTACGAAACACCATTGTTGGCCCGCAAAGACTACGAGACAATTCGCAATAGCAAAGGTATGTAGCCATAGTATTAAGTTTAATCATCGTACGTGGTACATAACGAGAAAATTGCTCATTTTTCTTTTTTTTCTCAATTTTTTAACAATACCTATTATAATTTTGTTAAAAGCCATTTCTTGCCACTACGAAAGGGGGAAATATTTTTCCCAAATAAAGATTCATAATTCTAAACAATGTTTAACAATACATAAAACCGTACAAATTGAAAAAAATCGACTCTCATAATAATAAAATATAATATTTACAACATAATATTCTGAACGATATGGTTTTGTTTCTCTCGAAATGTTAATCTCCGTTTAACCGACTAAAAAAATATAAACCACCGTTATCTATTTCCATAGTATCCGATTATTGTATGCAGGGTCTTTTTCCCTCTAAAACTATATATGAGAACAATGCGGTCGCTCGGTAGTGACTGCAGTATAATAATTAATCACAAACTCGATCTTCAAACATCACACGTCATTATTATTTTATATATAATATTATATAACATCAAAATAATATTTCAAAGATACATAAACACACTAATACGTGTACCTGCTACAGCGCGTAAAACTTTGGAGTTAAACAAAGCCACTCGTATTTTGGAAACAATATAATAATTAATTCTCCCCGAGAACATCTCTGTGGTTCGTTTGTTCTGTGTAGGTAAATCGACAGGTAAATAAAGTGTAAGACTGCATGAACTATTGTATCGTGCTCTTGAATACGATTATTATCGGTACGTGGAATAAACGGATTTGAATCAGAACACAACAACATCTGCTGGGGTTTATATGAGACCATTCGGGATTATTCTATTCTGAATAGCACGTGATGCGCGTCAGGACAGAGTGAACAAATGTATTTTCGTAGGTCCGTGGGAGGATGGCATACGACTCTAAGCAGAAGATAATATTAAACCATTACGATATTCACATATAATACAAATTAACCTATCCTAACTTGAATCGTTTACAAGAACCTCGTAAATCCTTCCCACCTCCCCATCGTGTGCACGAATAAAAATATCACAATTAATATCTAGTGAAACTTGAGATTGTTATCATTGCTGTTGACTAGGGGGCGAAATTTGATAAACAAATTTGGGCTTACTCGTTTACGGCAAGTGTATGCTCGAGGTAAAAAAAAAAACTATACCTAACCTAACCTAAATGACACTAACGACGTGCGTTTCGGTTGTAGACGCGAGGAGCACGATTTCCGGAAAAGAGTTTTGTCGCAGCGACTCGGAACGTGGATCGCTGAGCAGTCTGGACACCGACGTCCGAGCCACCGAATATTCGACAAGGGACAGCGTCACTTCGCTGCACTACCGAAGCCTGCAGAGCCAACCACCGCCGCCTCCAGTGCCGGTTCAGGTTGACGCCCCGGTTCGGCCCAAACACATCCAGTGCAACACCGAAATACAGGCCACTAGGAAAAGGTTTCACACGGCACCCCGCGAAAAGCACAGGGTAAGTAAACTTTACCCACCCCGAACCAGTACCGTGGTATGCGCAGAAGTCGAGGAGTACTCCTCGCTGTGCAGGTTATTGTTGTAGACCTTCTACTTATAGACCGACCCATCGTAATATTAAACCAAATACATTGATATTATGGTCGCGTGCCAACATGGCGCAATGATTCAGCCCGTATAAATAAATAGTATGAATATATATATATATATATATATATATATATATATGTATTATATTTTTTACCGTATCAGAGTAACTTGGTGACCGAAAATCGTCACCTATCTGGACACGGTGGACTCTTGAAGAGGGCCGGTCTATTAGTAAAAGGTCTACGGTTATAACTGTCCGTCAATGGTCGACCGTTGGAATTAAAATATATTTTTTCAAATATCAGTTGATACGAAATTCGTATTTCATTATTGTTTTTTTATTTCATTTTATCATATTCGTTCGGAGATCGTGCCACCGTTTCAGAGATAATACAGTACGAGTATACTACATTAGATTTGAAATAAAAAAAGTTCAAGTACTAGCTGATTGAACGCCCACGATATAATATAGTAATACGTAATAATAAAGCGTAAGCATATAATGCAAATGGCAAAGGACGACATCAATATTATATTCCTATTACCTAGTATATAGTTATATAGTCTATACCTCCATTAGTCATTACTATCCCTTTGCTATAAAAAGTATCAAGTTGTATTTTTCGTAGAAAATGCATCCCCATTCAATAATAATGAAACAAATTATGTTTCTAATATTAGATAGGTACCTGCCTATTGTCGAAAGAACGGATTGAAACTATATAGCAATAAAGACGTAATTGATGGGATGACATTTTAATCTATATTATTTTTTTGAACACATATAATTCCTCGAACAAACTAATAACATTTAGCTTCCACAAATTATTACCGCACTTTATTTACCAAAAGCAATTTACCTACATGATTTATACTAGGCACGGATCTAATTGTATGGTGAAACAATGTTATTTTTATAGAAAAAAATAAGTAACATAAATAAATAAACAATAAGACATATTACATTGGTATATAACTGTTTTTATACCTGTTCTACATATTATATATCTGAATGATTTGTATCAATATAGTATATACTATGTTTACTAAAATTAGATTATTTCTGGTATTATGCATTTATGCATCAACATACTACATAGGAATTTTCTGTGTTGTGTAATAACAATAATATTATTTCATATTTTGCGTTATGTAATTACTATAGGAATTAATAACAATATGAACTAGCTAAATGATATGTAGGTATTTCATTGAACATAATTATTTCTAGATCAAATTATCTCCTCAACCGAAAAAAAATTTAAATGTAATATAAAAATTATGATATAAAGATTTAGTACCTATACATGGGCTTTAATATTGATTTTAAAGCCAAATTTTCATTCACATTCTGTCACTAAAATATAGTGACTAAATTATAATTAGTTTAATGAAAGTATACATTGTTTACTATCTAGACCATCACTATATTCACTACTGTATAGTTATCGATTAATCATTTCATTTGCATTAAACACAGGCACGTGAAATAATATGCGTTCGGTATTGTTTATAATTCTTTGTCGCGTGGATAAAGTAATTATTACATATACAAAATATAATATTATACCAAAATACCTGATGATTTTTGTGCCGGTATTATAACATTTTTATGAAATTCATTAGAATTTATACGTCACATTATTATAATACCGGATTATTTACATTATACACCAATATATACCTAAAAAAAAAATTATATTTGTGATATTTATACATATATTACTCGTTTGAGTTAATTATTGTTATTTAAATCAAACACAATTGTGAAGTTCGGGATTTCATATTTTCATCGGAATATTAATTTATACAAACAGTCAATACCCATAGTATATTAAATATTAATAAACCGTACAAATACGGTTTAGTGCATAAAATATTATGTGTTGTTATATAACATATTATCATATTTCATTTTGTTCGGTCAAGACGACGTGGTGGTCCTCGCAGGTTTCACGTAATAATTAAACTTCTATCTTTGCCATTAGAAATCCGCGGTGTGTTGTCACTCTATTGCGTTTCCGAATCGCACAGTCCATTTAATATTGTTTTTTATTTCCCATATTTAAATTGGGAGTTAGCCATTCGTGAATCGTATCAACTTAAATTTGAAATCCTATACCCATGTACACTCTATATTATATTACAGTCTATAATATCATACGGACGTTTTCAGATGGCGCCCCCTTCGGTGTCGTGGAACATCAGTCCCAGCATGGGCCAAGTGTACAAGTGCCGGGAAGCGGACATTGTGCAGATACCGCGGTACTGTTTGAACGTGGTCAGCAAGCTGGGCGGCTCGCACCTTGGGGAGGTGGCCGTGTGCGAGACGACAATGGATGTCCGCTTGACGGACAACGGACGCGTGGCGGCCAAGACTTGCAACTCCGAATCGACCAGGGAAGTCAAGTTCCTGTGCAGTCTGCTCGATCCGAACTTAGTGCGCGTGTTCGGAGTGTGTGCCAACGAGTCGCCACCGTGGTTGATCACCGAGTACCCGGCCGAGCTTGGAGACCTGGTCATAGTGTTGAGGACGCACTCAGCGCTCACGTGAGTCAATCGCCTGTCTTGCGTATTTATCAGTATTCATACTTTAACAAATCGATAATATGATAATATTATGTTCTAAATACATAATAATATTATCGTCACATTATTATGGTTTCCACGTTTTTTTTTATAATATCTATTCGTGTATAAAACATTTATCGTGTATATTATAATATATTATATAATTTATTAGTTAGAAATTAACATATAAGATCATGAAAAATTACTAAACATTTTTAATTTATTGTTTACTATGGCCGTAATTAAAAATGTATAATATATAAAATATCCCATTACTATTTAGGCATATAGGAGGCATTTGGTAGATATATAATACAAAATAAATTCGGAGCTTTTATCAATTTAATATAACAATAAAGCACGTTTATAACGTGTTTTTTTTAAATTATGTTTTAATTTTAATACCTAAAGAAAACTTACTTGAAAATTTGAATTCTCCTTGCATAGTAGTTGCATCGTGTTTGTCAAATTCGTAATAATAATGAACATATTACTCAAATAAATGTATGAAGTGGAAGCTTAATACAAATACTTTATGATTTATTAGTGAAAAATTAAAAACTTTGGTAATTTGTGGTTCAGCTTTTTCATATCACTGAAAACCCAAAACCAATAGTTGTTGCAAAAAAAAGTTCGTTGTTTCTATTATCACTATATGAATATATTCCAAAATTCTCGCTTTTATATGAATATCGTATGGATATTGGATATACGACTAAGTATTTTATTGTTATAGGTACTAATTAAAAGTAGTATACGATGTAACTTGTAGGACAAAAATAATTAAAATTTAAACATGCACTGGGACGAAATTCTTGGAAAATAGTCTTTAATTATTTTATAATGTTATTACTTATATATTCATCAAAAACAGTTTCATTTTGTCTCCGTCCATAATATATAAAAAAAATACGGACCGCTAAAAAAAACTATTGATTTTTGGCATCATATAAAATCCAATTGCTTCGAGCGATTTTTGCAGCATGGCAATTATTTTTAAATTTAAACTTTGATTCGTTGTGGTGACTTAAAATTTTTCAAACGCATCATTTTTCTCAACTATATAATTTCTTTTTCTCCACAACAACGCCTAAAGAACTGTTCCTCCGTGGCTTCCCCGTCGTACAACAGTTAAAAACGCATCACATTTTCTATTTCGTTTCCATCAGAAACATTGTCCCATGTTTAAATATTTAAAAATGTTTAAATCGCGATAGTTGAATGTGTCTTGTTGCTGAACATTTATACTAACGTCTATTAAAGTTTTCTTCTGTTAATGTTCCTAAATAGTAAATTATTAACTATACAATTAATGTATTAATTATTTTCATTATCATTATAAATCAAACCCTAAAAATATACCACTAGCTTTTATGGTAGATCGATGTTTATAAAATACAATGGTATATTTCATATCTTCTTAAACTTATTATTAGTAATTTTTTCTAGACATAAATATTTAGACTTTTCAAAAGTTGTTTAAATTTTCTAAATTAAGGAACTCATATGTATTCCTAAAATGTTGAGCATATCATAACATTTAAATAAATATACACAAAATAACTCTCAATTGGTACCTATTATAATGAATAGAATCAGACTATGCGCCGGAATTTTCTGTAATGGATCTGATAAGTTTAGTGATGAATTCGCCAAATGCCCAACAATATTATAACTGACGAAAAATATTTAGAATATGGCGTATTCGACGATCTCTGTAATGCAAATATTGAAATATTCCATTAAAACACATTTTTGCCCCAAATTATATTATCGATGATTACTCGAAGGTAAAAAAAAATGCTCAACCTTTGAACAGTTAATAACTGCAGTAACGATGTAAACAATTGTATTATTCTTGACATAGTTTTAAATAAAAAAAAATGAATTGTCACGTTCTAAAGTGTGCTTATTTTTTCTGTAGGTATACGACTCTAATGTTCATGGCCACTCAAATCGCATCGGCCATGAAGTATCTGGAATCCAAGAACGTGGTGCACAAAGATTTGGCGGCCAGGTAAGCTGAAGTCGTTTTTCCTGCAAACCTTCTAAATTATTCATTCGCTTCGATTAGAAATGATATTGATGTTTTATACGAATACAATATATGACTGCAATCCGTCTAATGTGTATTGTTCTTTTTTTTCCCGGAAAACAGAAACTGTCTGGTTTCGAGAGGCTATTCGATCAAAGTGGCTGACGTGGCAGTGTGCAATCCGGCTTACAAAAAGGACTATAGCGAAATCGGAAACAGACCTCCGGCACCGATTCGATGGCTTCCATGGGAAAGCATACTATTGGTAATATTATAATATTTATATAATATTATATTATATACCTATATAATAATTAACTGGTAGGTATTATGATTGTGTATAGAGCATACACACATGAGTTATAAATGATGATGAGTATTGTTATAACTCGTTTTTCATCTCTAAACACTTCAACTAAAAACTGCCATATCGATGATAAAAACAAAAAACATATAAAACTAATACGAGCAACTTGCAAATACCTGAAAAATACCCTAAAGTATAATATATAAGAATATATTTTGGTTATATTTTTATTTCCATCTTAAAAAGTTTAGATGCGTACTTACATCAACTATTTAAAAAAAAAAAAAAAGGTTTTTGTTCTTATTATGATAATGTGTATCCTCTATCAAATATTAACTATATTATGTGCAACTATTAAATGTACAACTGTACTATGTGTCAATCATCGGGTTTACTATTCTAAAACTAAAAATTAATTTAATAATATATTATTATACATAAATATCATTCAGTCTCGAATAATTTTTAACAAACATTTCGATCGCGGTAATGCTTTTGAACTATATAAACACGTAACTATATGGCATTTCTTGCAGTAGGCAGGTGCTCCATGGAAAATTGTTTTCTTATCGTGGTAGATATTTGATTTAAATAGCAAAATAAATATATGAATACAAATTTGATTTCGTGTTCCTTGTACTTTTGAGGTTTTAAGTGCTTCAGTAGTGTTTTTTAATAACTAAAATAATTGCCTATAATTGCATTACACAACTTTTTCAATCAAATTTTTCTTGTTTATACTTTATTATTGTGGCATATATAATATAATATTATAATATTATTCCTACTATGGTGAATTGTTATTATTATTATTTGTTTTTTTTTTTGAGAAAACGGGAGGTCTCGGGTTGGTTGGATATTATCAAGCTGCAGCACCTGTGTACCCGTGTCTAGTTACACTTAGTTGCGATTGCAAGAATAATTTCATACTTATTTTTTCTCCAAATAGGATCGATACACTTGTCCGAGCACGGTATGGTCATTTGCCGTAACAATGTGGGAACTGTTGAACATGGCCAGAGATAAACCATTTCCGCACCTTACCAACGAGCAGGTCATACACAACGCTGAGCAGATGTACTACGGAGGCGAGCTACAAGTGAGTCTAAACTGGTGACTAAATACACTGTGTGTGCATTATAATATGCTTACACCACCAACACACGACCCTCGGCAGTCGACACTGTATTGTTATATTACATAAATATTAAATTACCAACATTTGTGTTACTTATACAGTTATACCGCGGAAAAAATACAGCTATAAATGGTAAAACGGATGATATCATTATAAAATAATGGTATAATGTATAAAAACTGCATATTACTATAATACTCATTGTACTGCACTAATTATCCTTTTCATAATATAATAAGCGGAAGTACAGACAGAATGTTCATAGAGAAAAAATTATAAATTATTTGGGTACTAGTAGTCCGTTCCAGTACCTACCTACTCTATCGAAATGCTTATGAAATTTAAATAAAATGTTACTCACTCATTCGCCTCGTCTCATTTGTATTATTTTTTTTTCGGTACAGAGTATATAGGTAAGACATCCTAATCCAATTTTAGTGTTTTATTTTCTATTTTATTCGATTTATTACGACGGGCATGTGAAAGTGTTCGTGGCAGTGTGCAGGCACATTGGCGTATTGAACGCCCTTCATATATTTCGTTTAATATATATTTATTATATTAGTCTGTGTTTTACGCGTTCGTGTCCCCTCCCCCCCCAAAAAAAACTTAGAAAAACGGAACCTGTCGTGTAAGAGGGGAGCTATATACTGTTATAGTGATAAACCAATAACTTGCAGTGAAAAGGTTAAGGTTTTCGAAAATAAAAATTATATTTGGTTGTTGATTGTATATACAATGTTTAGTTTTTATCTATTGTTATTATTAGTCACCGACATGTATATACGGCATCAAAGTTATACCTATACGGCTATACTAAATGTGTTTTTAAACTAAAAAGGGTTTCTGGTGGGATTTGAAAGTTGAGCAAAGCGACTGGAATGAGTGTGTTTAAATTTTAAAACAATGATAAATCATTTCGTTTGAAGATGGTTCTGAAAAAGACCTTGGTTTACTGTAGTTAATTTAATATATTATAATAATATTCAATAATGACAACCGTGGTCATGGATTAAAATGTCAAGTATTAATAACGCTCAAAACTATAAACATTTTATTAGAAAAGTCCAAAAATCGTAAGTATTTTGGAAGAAAACTAAATCTCTAATAAATAAAATAAAATTGATTAAAAATGGTGAATATTACCTACTCTGCAGATATTACTCAACTCCAAGGTTATTAAAATTATCGAGACGCGTATTGTCAGCTATAATTAATAAACTTGTCACACTAACATTGCATGTATTGATAATGCATTTTTAAGAAACTGGTGTTAAATAACCTTTTTTGCTTTTCAATAGTACACTAAAATAATTTTATTGAGCAATACAAAACGATTATTATGATAGCACCAGGTTTTTAATAATTGACTTTGGCACATCACTGCCGGCACCGGCTCTGACAGGTCTTTCTGATATACTGCAGTGAACTTAGAATAAATAAATCATATTTCCGGAAGATTCCAATGTATACTTATTAGTCATTACCTAGTACCTAGCTAATATAATCAATAATCATCATTACTGCACAATGAAGTATTAGATATTATGTACCTATGGTACGTAGACACGTAGTACGATATTATAATATATTATTTAGTTTCCGATGGTTAAATGATCGAATAACTTGTGCTTCCAGGTACTACTACCCAAACCTAACCTGTGCCCCACCGAGATTTACGAGCTCATGTGCCAATGCTGGAAGCGCGATCAAAACCTAAGGCCCACGTTCAAACAACTTTACCATTTCTTGAAACGCAATCACACGACGTACTCGTGCGAGATTGACAAGCAACTGCACAACATCTCACCGATATAATAAATTGTATTGTTAGATTATAGTATTATAACGTAAACCATAATAATATTATTTATTATGATTATTATTATTATTACTATTATTGTTTGTAATCAATTGTAATGTTATTGTATAGGAATTAGCGTATTGCATGTGTATTATACCTAATATGTATATTATGTATGTATGCATGACGTGCATATGTATAATATTATTATGTATGAAGAATGTACATTTTCTTGTTGAACCTATTTTCTTTACCCGCTCTGTTCAAAAAAATTTTCTCTCGATTTGCAGCATTCAACGAAATAGATTATTATAATATGATACCTACATAGGTTAACCGTATATAAAGTGAGAACAGGGTTTTGCTTCGTCTACTACTTTGTGATAAAAACTTTTTTTTGAAAAATCACATTTTTTTTTCTAACTCCACAACCGGCCGAGACCGCCGGACAAACGCTTCGTGACAATTTATTTCCATAAACTATTTCATATCGTGTATTTTTCTAATTCGTGTATACTTTTATAAGAATAAATATATATACCTATATTATCATGTAATTAATATTAATATTATGTTGTATAATCGAAAATGTTGTTAGCTAGACAATCAATGTGGTAGGGTACATATAATATATATTATATATTATATTATATAATATGTTGGAATGGGTTGTAATTTCGATGTCATCTTTGTAATATATTATTAAAAACGTTTTATTATAATAGGCCTAATTACTTCGGTAGGGTCTTACTATTTAGGCTTAATATTAATTATATGTAACAATAAACTGTATTATATAGTAATGATTAGTGTTATAATAATATATTATACATAGTATGTTAATACATAAGATCGGCTTATGACGTGCAATAATGAACATTATATACACTATTGTTTAGTTAATATTAAATATTCTAATGTTCTTTTTTTTTTTTTAATTCGTTAGTTAATGTGATTAAAACGACCTGTAAACATGTTTCTCTGTGAGTGTTTCTTTGGTTTTTTTTTACATTTTATAGTGAAAATATACATCTATTATATTTTTGTTTATAAAAATCTTTAAGACGCCACATTTGTGTCTCCACAAAGAAATCAGAGACACAGGTTTATCCCAAAACAAATACAATAAAACAAATATCAATACGATATATGGTGTACATATAATATTAATGTGAAAAAATTAGTTTATCGGTGATTAATATTTTAAACGTTCTAAAAAAACAAAATTGAATTACATTATTAAGCACTTTGGATATAGATTTACTATTATTAATAATAATATTATATTTGTTTTTTATAGTATCGAACGAAATTACAATTAAAAATGTAATTTAGTAAAAAAAAAAAAACTGGAAAACATCAATTAATTATTAAAATTCAATACACCGCACACAGGCCAAAAATATATTAACTATAATAAATAATAATGATCTCAAATGTTTATAAAAATAATATAGGTACCTACACGATATTTTTTTATTATTATTTTTTGGCGGGGGGGGGAGTTGAGGCTTTAACTACTGAGGTTATTAGCCTTTGGAACTGTGTAGAGGATGGAACACGTGTGTGTTGGGCAGATTTTTTAGTGGGCACCTGTAAGTATCTGCCATGCCGGGATGACGGGATGGCGGCACTTCTTCTCCGGACACCGTGACTTGGCTGAAGAAAAATGCCGACCGCGGCCGGGAATCGAGCCGGCATCGGCTGCGTCGCAACCGACGCCTTAGACTGCTGTCTGCTAGACCACTCCGTCCCCCCTACACGATATTATAGCATAATAAAAATATATTTAATGTTACATACCTACTTATTGAGTAGTGATGGACTGTTATACTTTATAGATTTTGATACAGGTACTCCTCATTCGACTTTTAGCGTTCATATTTAATGTGTATTTACTAACTTTACTTCGAGTACATTTTTGATTTTGGAAATCAAAGTTAAGTATTTATTTTTAGTACGTACCAACGTACTATTCTTACATATTTTAAAATTCCATACATAAAACACATATCTAAAAAAGGTGGACGACAAGTGGGTATACTGCTATGCTGTACAGTAGTTGTCGAGTATAATATGTCGTCGTAATGGCTGTGTTAGATTTGAATTCGATGATAAATCATTGAAAAAGGAAAAACTATTGTGAACGGGGACGGTGTGTCATCCTAGCATATACCTAGTCTACCTGCATGTATAAATTATCAAATTTAATAATTGAAACTCGCTAAATATCAAATATCGTAATATCGCATTATAAATACAAAACATTCATTCGCTATGCTCATAATCTAAAAATAAATAATTAAATTCTCAAGACTCAAGACCGCAATTAATAATATTATAATCATATCCGCATATTCGTTCATTTCCGTGTCTACATTCAACTCGATATTCAAATTTTAGCATCAGTATAGATGGATATCCTCCCCGCATTTGTTTGTTCATTTACCTATTTTATATTTAATATATTTATATATACTAATAATAATTTACGTATATAATGTGGCCATATGTAGGTACAACGGTTCCCTCGTTTACAATATATCAAGTTGGACTCGCACCTATATACTATATAGTGCATATTAACATTTAATTCTGAACACATTAAACATGTTATTATTTATACAATATATTACAATATAAAGGTTTTCAATGCAAAGTGCATCATTTTTTGGGTTACCAATGCTTTCCAAGTACACAGTTTGTTTCATGAAACAGATACTTCAACAGTGAAACTTTTATTTTGCATTTTTCTGTAATTTTGTTAGTTTTAATGCATATATGTACATTATATACGACTTCAGTAGCGGCTTTAATTAGTCTTCAAGTAGGGAGGGGAGAGGGCAATATCCTTTTGGTAAATAAATTCTACTTTTAACTATTTACTAACCTAGGAATATACAGGGAGGGAAACGTGTATGGTGTATCTAATAGTACAATGTGTAGGCGTGATTATAATATATGTATAAACACTCTTAATCAAATTTCGGTTTTTTTTTTTTTTTAATAAATGTTTAGTAAATTATTTTAAAATTGATTGTACGTTTTAAATTTAGGGGAAGTGCATACCTAATATAACATTTCATTGAAAAAATAATTATTTTTTATGTCAATTTTTGAGGGCGTTATTGCGAGAAAATACATTTTTTTATGCACATTTTTAACCATTTTTTTGAGCACAATCAGGCCCGGCTCAAGGGGTAGGCGACATAGACCCACGCCTAGGGCGGAACTTAAGAAGCACTTTAGTAAGAGGGCGGCATTTTAAAAATACTGATAATATTATATTGTTAGGGGCGGCAAAATTTGATTTTGCCTAGTTCTCTATTTTCGCTTGAGCCGGCCCTGAGCATAATTCCAAGGTTTTCAGAGCATTTTGGCCCTAAATGTATATACATTATACATTACGTGTGCGTGTTACGTGCATGTTGGGTGTGATTATTTAATCAACCCTTTTATAAACGCTAAACTGCAAACAATACGACAACAGACAAGCGACCGTGCTGCAAACCGGAGTATGGCCACAATAATATTACAACAATATTATATTATAGGTATAAACCATCGAGTCTATAATCGGTCCTACTCCTAGAAGTTTACACGTAACGATGGTTATAGGTAGACATATTATACAACTCGCGGGACTCGATGGTATATATTGTACAACTCTCGCACGTGATCAATCACAACAAATTATCAACAAAATTCAAAGTAGTTCGATAGTATAGGGACTAGGGAGGTATAGGTTTGTATAATATAGGTACCTAATACATGGGTACTGGCATATAGAAGGTATAATCAATGTTCACGTAGGAAATATTTACCATTTTAATTTGACTTATTATACAACGGTCACTGCATATGTAGTAAATATATTTTAAAATACATAAATCGCATTCGTTATAATATAGTGCCGGTTTTTAAAATGTTCAGCAATACTAAAATAATTGAAAATTATAATTTATATTTATAATTGCCATCTCAATCACGATAACATTCCATTAATGTACTGCCCGATAACTATTCAGGTTATACGGTGTAATATTAATTATTATATCAACAAAAAAATGATTTCACAGGAAAAATTCTCAGTCCTTGGTCCAAAAACCGTGATACTATCATAGATATAATATAATAGTAAACTTAAGTTTTAAGTGCCCACGAATAATATTATTAAATCACAACAAAATAACTAAAATAGTTATTCTAGGTTTTTTAATATGTAATTTCGTCCAAATTTGAATTTAAAATGTCTGTAAAAATAACTGTGTTCATATATTTTTTAGATTTTTTGGTTACAGTATGACCTATTTATGAGAACCTTTGTTTTAAATTTGCAATCCTTAGCTATAAAAACTGAACATTTTATAATTTATTAATTACAATGATTGAAAATTTTCGAGATTTTGATACATTTTGTCAAAATTTAAACTTTAAACGCTTATAAAAAAAAATTGTGCCTATGTATTTTCAATGTTTTAGAACTGATATTGTAACAATATATCAGGAGTCTTTTATTAAATTTTTACACTTTTTGGCCCAACAGATAAAACTTAATTGATATTTATAGAAAAAAAAACTAAAAAAATTGAAAACTGAAAATGTCCGTAAACAGCTCAAAAAGAGTCAAAATATTTTCAAAACTGTATTGGGTATAGTAAATGCTAATATAAACATTTAGTGAAATTTCCATGTATCTATAGTTATTCGTTTTTGAATTACAACAAAATAAGGAAATCGCTACATGAGAAATCGAGTGAATATCCAATGTTGTAAAAATTTGAATTTCAAACGCTCATAAAAATTTAATTTGACTTTCTTATAGACATTTTTTTTATAAAGGTAGATAATCTTATAAGGAATCTTGTATTACATTTTCAAATCTTAGATTTAAAAAGAAAAATTTCTACGAATTCATAACTTAAAATAATTTGCTAATTTTCGTGATTTTTCCATATTTTGTCAATTTTTGAACTTTAAATGCTTATAAAAAAAAATTGTGACTAAGGATTTT